TATATCAGCAAATAATCTGCAATGTCTTTGACACTTTCAAAAAATAAGTGCTGATCAAATATTTTTAAAGAGTTATGCCCCTTAGAAATATTAATTATAATGAAAATCACATTGCATTTGCTCTGAAGCCTTCATTTCTCTTAACTAAATGGGACCAGACAAAAGTCTGACTAGCCAAAATAATTGTGTGACCCCCTTGAGGGTTACAGTAACTGTTCATTTTCAGTTATCGAAAAGGAAAAACAGTTGATATTTTTCAAACGAAGAATAGTTGCGGTTTGCTAATAAATGAGATAACTATCTATAAAAGATTACTGAACTGTTGATTATGCTTTATTCCAATAACACTAGATGACTGTCACTGTGGAACACAGTTCAACACAGGGCTGAGGAAAACATAGAAATAGGTCAGAAACCATCTGGTGGGGGGCACAACCAATACATAAAATCAGTTGAGAAAAACATATACTAACAATGAAAATACAAATTACTATCCATACTGATCTGTGTCCACACCTTTTTCGATAACAATTTTTTGCTAGTCAGAATACAATCTATAAAAGTAGAGACATTTTAACCAAGTCGCATATACGTGTATGTACCTTTTAGTACTTGGAAAGTTTACCTTTCTCATTAGAGAAGAAGGCTTTAAATGAGTTGCAGCAAATATATTTGCATTCAGATTTACCAAACGACCATTTAATTAGATAGGTAAACTTTTGTTTTTGATAAGACTGCGTGGAAGTGTAGTGAAAAGTCAAAACTGTCAACAGAATCAAAAGGACCAACGATGTTTTACTGGTTTTTAGTGTAGTTTAGGTAATCAATACATAGTAGGGACTTTCAAATGTTCAGAAGAGGCCTTAAGCTGTGATGTGGTTATGATGCACATTTATGGCTCTGAAATCTGTCGATACCTTATCTTGGCATTCTTTACACTAAATCCATTGGATGTTGAATGTGTACTGATTGATAATTTAGTCTTAGATGCATGATTTTTTTTATTAGTCATTATTGGTTTTGAACTAGCTGTCAGTAACATAACTGCGAGTACTCTCAGATCTGTACTTAGTGTCATTTTGTTGTTGGGATGTACAAGTACCCAGCCATCCATCTGATGAGTTAAGCCTTTTTCAACTCATTTTTATACGATCGCAAAAAAATTTTGCGGTCGTATATTGGTATGACGTTGGTGTCGTCGTCGTCCGAAGACACTTTGGTTTTTGCACAATAACTTTAGTTTAAGTGAATGGATCTCTCTGAAATTATACCACAAGTTTCCATACCACAAAGGGATGGTTAGGATTGGTTTTGGGGGGTTATGGCTCAAACCGTTTAGGAATTAGGGGCAAAAAAGTGGAAAAAACAAGGGTTTTCTGGTTAATGGACAATTTAAAAGCAGTGTAAGGGAGGTAATCCCAAAACAAAATTGTACAATGTTGTACAATGTTGGATTACCTCCCTTACACTGCTTTTAAAATATCTATTTAAGACTTTTATGATGTATTTAAATTGGTAATTATGGTTCTAAACTCCATTGTGTTTTTGCAAAAAAAAGGGGGGGGGGATAAAAAAAAAAATTTTTTAGAGGGGGGGGGGGGGGGTCAATACGCAACAGCAAAGTGTATTTCACAAAAGCAAAAAAAAGAAGGGGGGTTATTTTTTTGGGGGGGGGGGGGGGGGGTCAATTCGCAACAGCATAGTATATTGCACAAAAGGAAAAATTGAATATAAATTCAAATCATATAACCAATTCTAAGTTCTTTGACTACAGTTATTCGGTGTCAGCAACCTATTATGTGTCAAATATTTAATTACAGTCCAAATTCAGACCTGTATCAAGTGCGAATATTGTGTCCATTTTCGCCCGAACTGTTCAGGGTTGGACCTCTGCGGTCGTATCCAGCTGGGCTCAGCGAAGCATTTTGTTATAATTTGTTCGTATGTTGTACTGTTACACCATAGTCCCAGGTTAGGGGAGATTTGGGCACCCGCTAATATGTTTAACCCCGCCACATTCTATATGTGCCTGTCCCAAGTTAGGAGCCTGTAATTCAGTGGTTGCCGTTTGTTGCTGTGTTATATATTTGTTTTTCGTTCATTATTTTGTACATAAATTAAGCCGTTAGTTTTCTCGTTTGAATTGTTTTACATTTGTCATTTCGGGGCCTTTTATAGCTGACTTTGCGGTATGGGCTTTGCTCATTGTTGTAGGCCGTACGGTGACCTATAGTTGTTAATTTCTGTGTCATATGGTCTCTTGTGAAGAGTTGTCTCATTGGCAGTCATACCACATCTTCTTTTATATATATATATATATATATGTATATAAAGTTTGATTTTAATTTACTGATAACAAAATCTATATCAATACCAATAAGATAATATTCGAACATCTAACTACAGTGTTGAATTGGTAAACTTTTAGAATAAGTTTATTTAACGGATCGATAAGTTGACCCTGATCGTATCTAAATTTCCGGGCTCGGTAAACAACATCTCTGTAAAAATTAGGATTGAAATAAATTTTCTACAGGTACAACCAAACTTCAAAACCAAATCTTTATATCTATGGAAGAATTTAGTGGGGGTTTTAAGTAATTTGTTGAAACGAAATCCTTGACTTAATAATTTACCAGTAATACATAGATTACGTTCATTGAAATCCAAAACGTAACAACAGACATGGGCATTGCGAACGAGTTATAATATATAAAATCGTAAGATGAAGCCAAAGGAACATTACTGTCCAAAAAAGGAAAATTAACAATAGGGAACGAAAAATTGTCCCATTTGTCGTAAATTTTGAATAATAGGTCATTTTTGTCCGGTGGCAGTAGTTACAAAAATTGGCCAAAAGAATCCTTAGCTAACAGATTATTAACTAATATGCTGTATTTATGCGAAAACCATTTGTCCTCCACCAAAATGAAGACACTGCTTGTTAATCAGTTTGTATTCTATATATAAATAGTATTTTGTTACTTCATAGAAATGAGAAGTTCACAATTGGGAAACCGAAATCATCTCTTTTGTCTATAGATATGAGGCAGACTTAACTGTATCTGTAGTATCCGTTATCTGAAGTTTGATGGGACAAATGCGTTCAACATATTCAACAAATTTTGAATTATTTAGTGAGAGAACAGTTGTATCTACGTTGGTCATTCATTTTTATGAAACAAAGCAGGACCAACTTTTTCATTTGTCTTTAAATTTGGAATAGGGAATACTTTTGTAAAGTGTAGAAAAGTCAAATGTTTTAATACTATTGCAAGGCAAAGGAGTCTTAGATTGCATGTACTCTAACACATCCTTGGATTTTTTTAGTATCCACATCTGATTCACGCCACCTCTGGAAAAGATAGTTCCACAATAACTTTGATTCCCGGCTTTGATTGCTGATAGAACTGATGATGATAATTTAGAAAGAGGTTTCGTAGAGCACTTGGAAGATCGACCAATATAACATTGTTTATAAGGACACTTATGTAGTTTATGTATCCAATACAGTGAAGGAAGATCCAGTTCTTCATCTTTCGTTGAAATTCCAAAGGAGCATAGAACAGTCTTATGATTATCCAGGATTTCCTCCTTTGTAATTGTCGTCGGGGTATATGTTGGGTTTCTTGAGTGAATTGTCAATACCTAGTTCATTTATCAAGCAGTTTATGTAATGTAATATACACACAAAAACGATGTTGTATGGGGCTTTATCTGCGGGGACAACAACATATTTGTCATGGAGATAGGACAGGTGTTTTGGAACATTTGGGTCTTTAGAATTGATGTAGCATGGGTATTCATAGAACCATTCAGTTTTTTTTAATTCTGATTTGTATCAACAACCTCACAGCTTTGATCCTTTTGGAAAGAGTATATACGTCTTCTTTCTCGCGTTTAACCCATTGCCTGGCATAATCTCCGACTGAATCCAACAGTATTTTGAAGTTGTGTTTGCAATTGATGGATTTAGACTCATGATATTTCTGGGCTTTAGATAACACATTTCGCAGAGAAATGTTATTGACAATGTTTAGGTTACCAGTAATAACGGGGCCAGCGGGGTTATATATGAATGGGGAACTAGCACAGGTGCAATAAGAAGGATAGACTTTTTTAGAAAAGTTTTTACATAGAACACGAATTTAACAGATATATACTACAACGAATTGTGCAAATCCTTGCCAAGGTTATTAAATAAATTGTGTTTTCCGTTACAGTTATAATAATCATGCTTAAATAATACATTTTGCAGATGTAAAGGTGATTAGAAAACTTGAATTCCATAATTTGAAATATGGTATGATTATAGACTGAACTAGTACACATTTTGTTTAGGGGCCAGCTGAAGCCCGCCTCACGGTGTGCGGGATTTTCTCGCTGTGTTGAAGACCCATTAGTGGCCTTCGGCTGTTTTCTGCCCTTTGGTCGGGTTGTTGTCTCTTTGACACATTCCCCATTTCCATTCTCTATTTTATTTACACTTATAACGTAATTTATTAAAGATGAACATCACTATTATTATTGATGTAAAGACTTATAAATGCTACGTATACAAACTTTCACTCAAATACATGAAACGGCAGTTTTTATTGAAATTAAATTTTAACATAGGTATGCCGAAAATTGATGATTTTCTAAAAATGAACGCCGGTATAAAATGTTAACATTAACGTGGTTTAAAAGTTAGGTATTTTTTGACGGCTCCACGTTCGTAATACGTTTTAGACAGTTTCAAACTATGGCAGTCTCTACCGAGAGCTTTAGTAAGTGCTACCATATATATAATAACGCAATATCAACAAGCTACCGTGGTCCGAACGGTATGCTATTAACATGTGTAAATCTTTAAATTTAAATACCAAATGTTTAGATTGAATTTTTAAATGTAATACTCAATTCATAGATTTTTTTTTTATAATTCAAAAACTGTATTGTTTTGCTTGATTGATTTGAAGGAAACACATGTTTTTTTTAACTAAACGTCAACATCTACAATGAAAAGAACAAGGATAGTGCGCTTATTGTGCATTTTTCTGATTATCTTGATTTTACATTTGATTTGCAAAAGACGCTTCCTGAAGGTAATGCATCTACTTCATCAATAATTGTCAAAAGCAAGACACATACACACATGCAACAAAAATATGAACACGTAAATCACAGAAATTCGACGTTAATACGAATTGAAAAAAAAAAAGTTCCGAAAAACAAATACCCTTCATCAGTACCAGTCATTAAAAGTATATTTAGCTCACCTAGTCCAAAGGGCCAGTGTAAGCTTTTGCCATGACTTTGCATCCGTCGTAGTCCGTTTGATTTTACAAAAATCTTCTCTGAAACTACAGAGCCAAATTAACAAAATTTGGCCACACTCACCATTGGGGTATCTACTTTAAAAAAAAGTGTTCGATTACCCTGCTTGCCAACCAACATGGCCGACATGATTAAAAATATAGCACTTGAAACCCACAATAGATAGAGAAAATCTGACGGGGGAAAAAGTATTGAAGAAAAATGAGATCTACCTACTGTCCATTGACTTCAGAACTGTAGGAAGACTCCTTATAGGAGTTATTGCCCTTACACGACGAATTTTATTTATTGTTTTTCATTTTGCCTATTATCTTCGTGGAAATTATAATAGATAGACACAAACTAACTTGAGTTTGCCTCAACCAAATGTTATGAAACTTATACATAATGCTTATTACTACAAAACACAGATCAAGTTTGAATTTTGGTGGCGTCACTTTAACCGTTCTAGAGTTATGCCCCTTTATAAATGGAAAAATCGCAAATTTTTTAGTTACCGTAACGGCGTTCTCTTACTTAAGTTTGCCTCAATCAAATGTTATGAAACTTATACACAATACTAATTATCACAAAATACAAATCAAGTTTGAATTTTGGTAGCGTCACTCTAACCGTTCTAGAGTTATGCCCCTTTATGAATGGAAAAATTGCAAAATTTTTTAGTTTCCGTTCTCTTACTTAAGTTTGCCTCAACCAAATGTTATGAAACTTATGCACAATGCTTATTACCACAAAACACAGATCAAATTTGAATTTTGGTGGTGTCACTTTAACCCTTCTAGAGTTTGCCCCTTTATAAATGGAAACATTGCAAAATTTTTAGTTTCCGTTCTCTAACTTGAGTTTGCCTCAACCAAATGTTATTAAACTTATACACAATGCTTATTACCACAAAACACAGATCAAGTTTGAATTTTGGTGGCATCACTTTAATCATTATCGAGTTATGCCCCTTTATAATTCGAAAAATTGCAAAATATTTAGTTTCCGTCCCAACCAAACATTATGAGACCTATACACAATACTTAATTACCACAAAACTCAGATCAAGTACAAATTTGGTAGCGTCACTTTTATCGTTCTTGAGTTATGTCCCTTTATAATGTTGTATGCAAGCGGGGGCATCATCTGTGTCCATGGGGACACATTCTCCATTTATTATGATTTTGATATAATCTGTCTCAAAATTAGTACACTACACTGTACAAATATTTTTGAGATAGAGCAGACCTGTGCGATTTTTAAAATTTATTGCTTAAAAGAAATACACTACGAAATATCTGCGTTCTCGGGCCTACCGAAGGGAAAGATCAATAAGATAAGACCAATGTAATATATGTACAAGAAAAGTGAGAAAAAATAACAAATCATAAGGTATGATGAAAGAGCCCATACCTACTGCCCCCTTCTTACTCCAATCGACCGTCATACTAATTTCTTGGGAAACGGACTTGTAAAAATCCAGCATGTATGACAATAATAAAACAGAGCAATCAGGCGTGTTTATATTTATATAATGTAAAAGGCGTATAGAGGTAAACACATAGATTGGTTTCTTGAAAAGTCCAGATTTTAATCGCCTCTAACCCACTAAATACTGGTATAGATTTAACCAAGGATTTATATAGTAAGATATCTCACTATACAAATCCTTGATTTAATGAAGACTTTCAAATATCTGTAAACAACACCAAAGAATAATAATAAAAAAAAATATAACGCCCCGTTTGCGTATGCCAGTTCTAAGTAAGGAGCCTTGTTGTATATCATATCTTTATGTTTATCGTCATTTTGAGAATTAGGTTTGAATGGCATATATTTTTAATGTTTTCTGTTAAACTTTCCAATTTTTACAGATTCTGGACGATTTAGAGCTTGTAATATTGCATAAACATCTGTCTATTATTGTATACTTAATGTTGTCCGCCAGATATTTTCGTTAGGTTAATAATGTCTTATTGACGTATACCCAACATCTCCTTTTATTCATATACATGAAGACAGCCATAGATTACGTGTTTTTATAGTTCTTAATCAATCTTCTCTATAAACATTTTTCACTTTCACCTAGTTAAACAATGAAACTTGAAAATATTTCAATGTGTATTATTTCCTTTAAAAAAATATCACAAAACTTTACTGATAACTATATTTTGTATCATTTCAGAATATTGAGTCGTGTTATGAAACTGTGCATGTATTCTCTGCAGTAGCACAAGCAAAGACAAAACTTAGTTTTATAGAAAATATTGTTCTTAACGTTCTAGACGGCTCTAAATATTCCAATTGCGACTGTTGTATATATGGATATCATGGGACACCTATTCATCGTGTCAATGCCGTCGTGAAAGAGACCTACACTCATAACAGTAAAATGGCTGACTTGATAGCGAGACAATTTCAATGTTCTGTACAAAATATTGGTTTTAGAATGGTAAATATACAATTAGTAGGAAAAACAGAATCATGTAGTATTTCTTACAATCTTCATCCTGTGTTATATCCAGAGATAAAAGAAAATGGATTCGGCATATGTGCAAAAATAGCCTACAATTATCTAAATCCATTACACCTTATTGAGTGGTTCGAATATCAAAAAATGATGGGTGTAGATATGGTTCTTATATCTCTACAATCCTTAAATAAAGATGCTTATAAAGTGTTGAGATATTATGAAAGAGAAGGGATTACAACACTCATTTCTTTTCCAAATGACATGCCCGGGAAATTAGGTATGTATTTGAAAAATATTTTAAATACGACCACACTTTATTCAATTAATTATCACTTTCAAATTAAGTAGATATAAGAAGATGTGGTATGAGTGCCAATGAGACAACTCTCCATCCAAGTCAAAATTTATAAAAGTAAACCATTATAGGTCAAAGTACGGTCTTCAACACGGAGCCTTGGCTCACACCGAACAGCAAGCTATAAAGGGCCCCAAAAATTACTAGTGTAAAACCATTCAAACGGGAAAACCAACGGTCTAATCTAAATAAAAAACGAGAAACAAGAAACACTTATGAACCACATCAACAAACGACAACTACTGATTATCAGATTCTTGACTTAGGACAGGTGCAAACAATTGCAGCGGGTTTAAACGTTAAAATGGTACCAAACCTTCATCCTTATCTGAAACAATAGTGTAACATCACAACATAGAAAGACACACTATAAAATATTAATTGAAATGGCTTAACTCAATCAAAAGACATATTAACACCAGTCAACACACACTGAACAAATAAATTTGATCTATGATACAATGCAAATACAAAATAAATAAACTAATGGAAGAATAATTAAAGTAACATGTTATACCGCTGTGAAATGTTAAACAATTTAAAAAAAACAATATGCTTGAACAAAAACAACAGCCGTTTGCAATTACTTTAAACACAAGTAAATGAAAATAATTTTGTTGTTAGGTATACGTGTACAGTTCAAATGGAGAAAGGAAATATTTTTACAAATAAATAATTTTGATGTTCATTTTACGAAGAAGTGAAAATTTTTAGTAATACCAAACACTTATCAAAGCTGGTATATAGACCAGATATAACCATGAATAAGTAAACATTAAATAAAAAAAACATTACAAATAGTATCTACAGGTCAAATAAACAAGAAAGTACGATTTGAGAGTACTCGCAGTTACTGACAGCTAGTTAAATGCCAAAAACAATTAATAATAAAAAATCATGTATCAGAGACTAAAATCAACTAAAACACATCCCAGGGAGTTAGTATTTTAACGTCATGGACAGTCAAAGAAGACATGACTTGTGCAATGCCAAAAATAAATGTATCGACAGGAAGTGGGATAGTTAGGAGTTAACCTCTTAATAGATCATAATGAAAGTGGGTGTGTCTTTATACATCCCGTTTGAAAAGAATACAAATTTAGTTATGTTTTAATTTGCTGATGACAAAATCGACATTAGTGCCATTGTAAACTATATTCAAAGATCTAATTACAACATTGATAAGATAACCTTTACTAATAAGTTTGTTTAAAGGTTCGATGAGTTTACACGGAACACATAGTGATTTCCGCGCTTTAAGTACAATATTACCGTAAAATTTAGGATGTGAAATACCGTTTTTAATCAGTTTTCTACAGGTACAGCCAAATTTACTAATCAAATCTTTGTATCTATGAAAGAATTTAGTAAAAGTTTTACGTAATTTATGGTAACGAAATCCCTGACTTAATAATTTACCAGTGATGCATTGACTACGTTCGTTAAAATCTATGACATCACTACACACACGGGCAGTTGGGATATATAAACACCGTATGATGGAGTCAAAGGAACATCGCCGTCTTAAAAAGGAAAATTAACAATAGGGAATGAAAAGTCGTCTCTTTTGTCGTAAATTTTAGTATGGAGTTTTCCTTTAGAGATTGAAATGTCAAAAATCTAGAAAAGGACAATTACTGCTGTTTATGTTAGATTTAGTTAAAGAAAGTTCTTTTGGGTAAATTTCGGTAGTATATTTAGAGAACTCTGGATTACTAGTATTTAACGAAAAAATATCATCCAGATAACGGAAGGTATTGTTGAATGTATCAACCAAATGTAACAATGACGTGTCTTTACTGAGTTTGGTCATAAACTGAGATTCATAGCAATACAGGAATAAATCTGATATTAAAGGGGCGTAGTTAGTGCCCATAGGAATACCTACTACTTGTCGATACACTTTATCGCCGAAACGTACATATATGTTGTCAAGGGGAAAATTTAAAGCACGTCTATCAATTGTAAAGATTATCAACCGAGTTATGTATAAGCATAGTGTTTTGGATTTTGATGTTATAAATGGTGCGTGCTACACTTGAAAACTTCCACAAAAGATAGGCAAAAGATATCAAAGGGATGTTCAAACTCGAAGTCGAGTTGAAGACAAATCGACAACGTATTTGTCAAGGAAACGAAAACGACGAAAAGACAAACAACGCTCTGCAAGAAACAACATAAAAAACTGAAGACCAAGACAAATAATGGAGAGAACTTAAAACATTGCCAATATCGACTAAAATCATATAATATGTAAGGTCATTTCACACAATTCCAAAACTTTGTAGCATTAATCATATGAATATACATACTCATAAACCCAGATACAAAGGAAAGGTTGCAGGGGAAATTCATTATGTATAGTTTCGTCAAAAAACGATAAAAGTGACGTCCATAATCATAAGGGCATTGACAGAGCTGGACAATAAAAATACCCAAACATTAATTTGTCGTACTTGAGGATGTCAATATCTTTAAATTGCTCCTCAACGCAAGATGGGGGAAGAGGGGGGTAAGCTTTTGTCGTATTTCAATCCAGAAAACGTTGTTCAATGTTTTTGATTGCAAGAAAAACCCTAATCAAATCCCACAAATCTATACTGACCACCGGTAATGTCTACCTTAAGAGTTTGGTACAGTTTTAATTTGCTTAAAACATGTGTTTGGCGTAAAAGCATGTATTGAGATATAATATTGTTATGATTTTTAATACTTAGAAGTGTTATTTATCATCTTTTTCTTGCTATGTTGACTAAAGCCAGGTCCCTGTGATTTAATGGTGATCGTTTATCATATTTCTTTTTCGTTTATCGTTTTGCATATAAATCAGTCCGACCGTTTTCTCGTTTGAATTTTTTTTACATATGCCATTGCGCGCGCGGGGCCTTTAATAGCTAGCTGTGTGGTATGGGTTTTGCGCATTGTTGATCATAAAGGCCATATGGTAACCTATAGTTTCTAACTTCTACCTCATTTGGTCTCTTGTGGAGAGTTGCCTCATTGGCAATAATACCACATCTTATTTTAATATTTATGAAAAAGTTTACAATGACCGGACTACAAGGGATTTCAACAAAAACTATGGTATAGTTTACGGTTTATAAACCGAAAAATGTCCAAAAAAATATGGAATATCTGTTTTAACTTATCGCATCTTTTTCCTGTTATTTTTTTTATAAATTGTTTGTTTGTTTACTTTAAAATAATGTTGATAAGAACCAGTTAAATTATCCTTTTCGGGCCTTACACACAAAGCTCTACCTTTCTAAAATAAGCACGGGCTTCTGAAACAGCGGAAACATCAATGAGACAAGATTTTTCGACAGCGATGGATGTACATTTACATAGATGACGGACACGGTAAAGACGAAAAAATTTTGAAGGAATTAGATCTTCTAGATATGCTGTGCAACGTTAAAAAAAAACATAAGGCGAACTCACTTATCTCTTATTTGTAGGACTGTAACGCTACAATAGAGATTCAGGAGGGGGGGGGGGGGTAAGCATGAATTTCGAGGTCGCAAGAAACTACACAATTCTGATGTTTTGAAAGATTTCTGGAATCGCAGGTAAAAGTGGACTTGCAAAGGGTTAGTTTTTTTTTATTTTATCAAAATGTTCTTTTATATGTTTTTTTTTATATTAATTTACGATTATTTTAAGATGTGTTTGAGCTTTTGGTTTTGCCATTTGATTAGGGACTTTCCGTTTTGAATTTTCCTCGGAGTTCGGTATTTTTGTTATTTTACTTTTTACAATCCTGAGCAAATTAATTTCACAAGAATCTTTCTATGAGTTTGGATGAACCATTACACGTTTTAATTTTACCTAAAGCCTAAGTCGTACATGAATTAAAAGGGATTTCAAAATGATCGCGATTAAAATCACATGTTGATTATAGACAATTTAAACATAAAATTAAGGATCATTTAGAGTAACCAGTTGATTTTTTAAATTTGAAAAGTTTTGATCAAGCGATACTTTACATAAAATCCAGAAACAAATTTTAAGAATATAGTTACTATTTTAAAGATTATTTTTAGGCATTTCTCTTGAATAGAAACCGTCAAAATCGAAACTGACATGTGTTGTATGATTAAAATTTTACATTCAAAACGATTTGGTCAAGCGGTTCATTATACTCATCTGGAAATCCTTTTACAATCCCTCCGAGCCGTGTATAATAAAGCTTTTGATTGAATTGAAACTGTCAGTACTTTAAATTCGGTATCTACATACTTTTCGATCTAATTTCAAGAGTTAATCTACAAAATAGTTAGACATATAGGATATCAAAAATACTTGTATTCGTGAAAAAACTGAATTATAAAGAAATGATAAAATAAAAAAAGCTTGAGTTCTTTATTATAGACTTAATACATTTCTAGTCTATTCTAGTCTAGTTTAGTCTAGTCTATTACATCTATTCTATTCTTTTCTATTCTATTATGTTTAGATCTATTCTAGTCTATTCTAGTCTAGTCTATAATGGTCTAGTCTTTTCTATTTTTTTCTATTATAGTCTAGTCTAGTCGATTTAGTTGCTTATTTTTCCCACAAAATGATTTGGGTTAGATATCAAAAGAATTAGGCAATATTTTTGAACAGGAAACCCATAACAAACTTTTACAATAGACACTGGCTACGATTATCCGCAAAAAGTAACAATATGAACTAATTATTGTTACTGCCGAGACTTAATGCCTAAATGTATTTCCGGTCAGCGACCGGATTTTCATACGGAAATTGCAGGTAACAATAACATCATTTTTTATTGTTACCTACAAAATTTTACATAAAATTTGCAAATTATGTCTATTGTGTTTTGTATCTTGATACTTCGTACTGTCTTCGTGTTATTGCTCCGCATACGTTGTTTAACATATTTGAACAAATATATATGTATAGAAAATTATTTATTG